CCCCAAAACCCCAAAACCCCAAAACCCCAAAACCCCAAAACCCCTAATCATAGTATATAGATATCATAAGATATTAAAAAAACCTCATATTAAATATATAAGGATACAAGTATATAAGATTACTTATTATTAATGAATAGAATGAACTAATATTGATTTATGGAATTATTTAAGGTATTATCTAGATATCTTCATTTTTTGTTGTGTTATTAAAGGCTCAGTTTTCCACTGTTCAGTTGAGGAAAACGTATCCACCGCTTTATCTGTGTTTCCACCATTGATCGTGATCTCCACCTCCAATAAGTTGCTCAGCAACCTTTGGTTGAACATCACCTCTGTGTTTCCACCATTGATCGTGGTCACCACCTCCGATGATAACATCTTGGGTCTTTTGTCTATTTCTTTGCCAGTCATCGTGGCCGTCATTCTTGCCAATAACATCAGATCTGTGTTTCCACCATTGATCGTGATCTCCACCACCAATGAGTGGGTTTTCAACCATTGGCTCAAGATCTCCTCTATGTTTCCACCATTAGTCGTGATCTCCTCCACCAATGAGTTGTTCTTCAACCTTTGGTTGAGCACCTCTGAATTTCCACCATTAGTCGTGATCTCCACCACCAATAAGTTGATCTGCTACCTGAGGTTGAATATCACCTCTGTGTTTCCACCATTAATCGTGATCTCCACCTCCAATGATTGGTTGTTGCTTTTGTCTCCAGTTGTCGTGGCCATCTCCACCAATGAGTTGAGATTTCTCAACTAAGGGACCTCCTCTGCTGGACCAGTAATCCTCGACCATGGGACCACCTCTTCTCCACCAGTAGTCGTGGTCTCCACCTCCAATAAGTTGATCTTGAACTCTTGGCATTTGTTGTTGGTACATATATCTGTAGTGATCTGGGTCAGTTGGACCTCCCATAATAGTGGCAACTTTTTGTTGAACATCTCCTCTGTGTTTCCACCATTGATCGTGATCGCCACCTCCAATAATGGTTGGGTATGAAACGCCACGAGTGGCATGAGGCTTGTAATCATGATCATCACCTCCAATAATGCCTTTTTCAACGACTGGCTAAAATTCCTTGTACCATATTCCATGACCATTTTATCCTAGCATTGTCTCAACAGTTGGTTAATCTCTGTGTTTCCACCATTGATCGTGATCGCCACCACCAATGAGGCCACTTCTTTGTCTCCAGTTGTCGTGGCCATCGCCTCCGATCTTGCCACCTTTGTGTTGCCAGTCATCGTGACCGTCACCACCGATCTTTCCACCCTTGTGTTACCAGTCATCATGGCCATCTCCTCCAATCTTGCCACCTTTGTGTTGCCAGTCATCATGACCGTCACCACCGATCTTTCCACCTTTATGTTACCAGTCATCGTGGCCATCTCCTCCAATCTTGCCACCCTTGTGTTGCCAGTCATCGTGGCCATCTCCACCGATCTTTCCTGATTTTTGTCTCCAGTTGTCGTGGCCATCACCTCCAATCAAAGTTGATTGAACATCTTCCCAGTCAGCGCTATCGCATGAACTAGCACCATCTGAGGAAGCTTGTCTCTTTTCAACAGCGAGTTCATCCCATGAGGCAGGGCTTGAAGATCTCTTCTCAGCTGGTCTCACATTGTAGTCAAGTGAACCAACAAGTGACTTTTGTACCTCAATATCATGAGAAGAAACACTGTTGCTTGAGTTTCTAGCAGAGAAAGTTCTGCCTCTTGAGTCCCATGATCTTGGGGAATCGTTTCTTTGTCTGGCAACTCTAACCTTTGGAGCAGCGACATCTGGGCTAGTGCTTCTGGCGGGGGCCTTTTTCTCTCTAACTTCGAGCTTTTGCTTGTAAGCTTGCTCTTCTTAGTCCCATGATGAGACTGATTGAGATCTAGCTTCAGCCTTTCTGTAGGCCTATACTTCAACGCTAGATTATCTTCTTGGTTGATCAGATAAGTCACTGAAGTTTCTGTATTGAACCTCGATTTCAGCAGCTTCATCAGAAGTGACGTGTGATTGGTGTCTGGGTCTTCTGTTGACTTGTCTGTTTTCTCTTTCCTTTCTTGGTAAATCGTGGGAAGTCAAGTCTGAGTCTTCAGCGAGCTGTTGTCTCTTGGCAATCTTAATTTGCTTCTCTCCATGGTTGACAGTTTGGAATGGAGCAGTGACTTTAAGTTCAGGCTCTGCTTTAAGAACTACTTTCTTGGTTTCGGCAACTTGGTCGTTGGCTACGACAGTACCAACGATTAAAGCTCCAGCTAGTGAAACAAATCTCTTCATTTTTTCTTATTTTTTTGTTATTAATATTAATTGATTATAATAAATATCCTATAATATATTTATAATCTATAATATATTCGCAAAATATATCTTTCAAGAATACTCTAAATTAGCATAATGGGGTTTTGGGGTTTTGGGGTTTTGGGG